ATCCACCTTGAGTTGGTTTTTTTATATGGAGTGAGGTGGGGATCTTGTTTAATTCTTCTGCAGATAGTTTTCCAATTTTGCCAACACCATTTGTTAAAAAAGGCTGTCATTTCCCCACCTAACTGATTTCATCTCCTTGTCAAAAATCAGTTGACCATAAATAGAGAACAAGTGGGTTTCTCCTGAACAACACTAGAAAGGAAGCTTTCCCTGTATGTTGAAAACAAATAGCATGTAGGCCAGATTTGAGGAAGGTTCCCAGTAACTACTGTAACCAAACAATATGGTTTGATTCAGAGGGTGGTACTTCTGAGCCCGAGTTTAGTATATTGAATGCTGGAAAACTTGTAGAATTAGAGCAAGGGGCTCACTATACATGGGTTGATTCCTACAGCCTGGATACCAGGAAGACGAGCCCACACTGTAGAACTCGAGAATGGACCTCCAAGGTGCTCCTCTTGGGGCAAAATCAGTGCAACTGCTTGGCTCGTCAAGTCCAGATTAGTCTGGCAATAACCTTTTTCAGATGTTTTTAAATAAGTGAATCAGGACATCTTATGAACAATATAAATAACATGAAATATGCAATTCAAATTCTCCAAAAATCAAGAGGAAAGCATAGTTCTTTGATTTATTCATTGGCTTTGGGTTTGCAGTACAGCTTCTTACCACGAGGCCACATGGGCTCCCTATTTGACTTTGAATTAAGACGTGACTTTGGCTTGTTCCCACTTCTCTGAGTAGGCCTAATCACCCTGCTGGGGCCAGTCCTATGAGTAAGCTAGATGCTACCTAAACTTATTAAGCGAAGGGCACATAGACATAATATCCATCAGGTTTGTGTCCTGTGCTACATAGGCATGCGGCTTGGCATCCAAAATGGGCAGTGAGCACACTCAGTATTTGTGAGTCTAAGGTTTATCATTCAGATGTCTTCTCTAACTAATGATTAACTATTTATTTTGTTCTGAAGTAATTACTGTATGACAGAGAGAGGATTAGGATGGGATACAAGTCCCACCCTAGAAAAGGCTATTCTAAGCTCACGGGACATGTGCTTTTTTCCCTTCGGAAAAACTCGCTCACCTGGGACATAGCTTCCAGCTGCTTGTCAGTCTCTACTCCCCCAGCCTGTATCACCCACAGTCGTCATCTACCTGTGCCACAAGTGACACAGTCTACAGGATTCTGCCTGTCACTCACAAGTTTCTCCAAAACCAGCTTGCTACCTACAGTCATGTGAGTCATTCCCCTGGAGGCTCTGAGTCTCTGAGAGACACTCTAATAAATCTGAACCCAAGGGCCATAGAGGAATTAGGGAGCAGAGCCACTCTTGGAGCAGTTCATGTTAAAAAAGTATGGACACATACAGCTGGGTAAGCATTTGGGATTATGTTGACCTGAGACTTCTCATAAATAGTCTATTTGTCTTAGCAGGATGAATTGTGAAAACAGTGACACTTCACTGCTTTCTTTTCTGGGACCCTGATGAAAGTTGGGGACGGTCTCTCTCTGCATCTGCCATCCAGTTGCCTAACAGGGACATTCAGTCCAAGACATTTTCTGAAAAGGAGGCTGGAGACTGGGTCTCTCAGGATCTGAGTTCTTTTTCCTTATCAGAGAAGAATTTCTCCCTGTTCTGAGCACACACAGTAACTGTCTCTTTTTCATGCATGAGCCACGTATGGCACCTGACCAACTCCATTTCTGTATCTGTTGCTACAAAGAGGGGACAGGATGTCTCATCTGGGGCATAGGAGTGGATGGAGCCTGCATGAAAATGGACCTGGACCTGCATTGGGCTTGTAGAAGCAGCTCTCGAGCCATGGGAGATTGGTGCCCACAACTGAAGCTAATCAGGGCGTTAGTAAGGTCACAGTCCATGCACCAGCTGTGTCTTTTTTTTTGGTAACTTTGAACTCAGGCAAGATAGTTACATAATATCTGCTGGGGGTTAAATATTGTCACCCGCCTAAAAGATCTGTTGAAGTTGTAACCCTTGTTATTGTTGTTAGGAGCCATCAAGGTGACTTTGACTCACAGTGACCCTGAGAACAACAGATCTGAACCTTGCCCTATCTGTGTCATTCTCCCCAGTTTGGATGTGCTTAAGTCCATTGTTACAGTTACCGTCCCAGGGCATCTTGCCAAGGGTTTACTTCTCTTTTTCCACCTTTCTCAGCATGAATGACTTTGCTAAGGACTGTGCCTCCTGACAACATTCCCAAAGCATATGAAATGACATTTCCACATCCTTGCCTCTTAGAAGCACTCTCCTTGCAATTCCTCCAGGATAGAGGTGTTTGTTCATGACTGTGACCTCAGTCCCTTCACCTCACCTCCTTTTCCCCATAGGTGACACTCAGCACTCTTTCAGTTGTTCAAATATCTGACATGTCTTGGTTTATACGTTGAGATCCTCTATTCTCACTACTGATTAAGTGACAGGTCTCATCCTGTGTCATTCACATTGGCTAGTGATGCTGTCATGGAAGGTGTGGTGGAAGCAAGGACTCATGTGTGTCTAAAAAGCATTAATTTAGACATGCACATTGTTTAAAAAAATATTCCGATTCTGTAACTTGTCTGAGTTTTGGTTTAGTTTCACAAAAGAAGGCAAAACAAGCAAAAAAGAGTAATTAGAAGACAAAGGTTTACCATTGAAGGTTATCTGACCTTGGGAGGCCCGTATTCCTATATGGCCAAATTGATTCTAGTAGAGTAATAATTTTTCAAGAGCCAACTTTTGTTTTCTGGATTTTCTGTATGAAACTGTCAATATCATGAATAGAAAAGGAGACTGTAATGAAGATAGAACATGCTATTGAGTTGTGTTTGTGTTTCCTAAAGAGGTGCAGAAGCAGCCATGAATTTTAAGGACTCGATAGCATGACTTTGGAGGCACCCATTCTTGCATTTTGCATTCTTCATATGTAATCATATTGCCAAAGGCAAACTATTTCATCATTTATTGTAAATAACACTTTCTCCTGACCTACCGTAAAGTTTCTGTGATATATTTTCTACCAGCTGCAATAAAAATTACTGAGTGGCATAAAAAAAAAGAAAAATATTTTGCCCATACAATCTTTCAGGAAGACTCATTAACAACCTGCTTTCATGAGACCTCATAAGACCCAGAAGAGGAGCTGTGAAAAATAAAGTTCTTTAGAGCTTGTAGAAAATACAGATTTAGGAGATGCTACAGTCCTTGAGAATTTACTAAGTAAAGAGAATATAAAATTATAAGTAGAGATAATAAGCGTTTTGTATCTTTGTTAGCACTATTTGAGTAGATCATTAAAAGCCCTGGTTCCTGGATGCTCAAGGACACATTTCTTTCTAGCTCCAGAGATAATTGTTAGATATTTTTTATATATATAGAACAGCGTGAAAAACATGGGGCCAACAGTTCCCATGACTGAAGGCTCCAAGCCATGCTTCTCTGAGTAGTTAGAATCATAAGGAGGTAAACAAAGCAAAATCATAAGTACAAAACAAAAACAAAGGATTGATATATATATAATATAAAAAAGGAATAAAAAGTAAAAAAAGTTCTCAAAAAAGAAATAAAAATTATAGGCAATGTGATGGCTAACAGAATAAGGAATGTTAAAAACAAGACAGTCATTTGTTATCTACGTGTAAGTTGTAATAGTCCTTTGTTATTGAGTTATTATTTTAATTTCATGTCTTTCAGAGATTTGGATTTGCCCTGCACTTTGGAATTGACTTTTACACACAATGTCACCATTACGTCAAGGTCCAGATGCATACATGCCCCCAGATGGAGGCTGGGGCTGGGTAGTGGTTGCTGGTGCTTTCATTTCTGTTGGCTTCTCTTCTACACTTGGCAAATGTATTTCTGTACTTTTCAAAGAAATAGAAGCTACATTCAATGCTAGCATCAGTGAAGTGTCATGGATATCTTCCATCATGTTTTCTTTCATGCTTGCTGCAGGTAAGTGCCCACTGAGACCTTAGCTTCTCGTTTTTGTTTTGTTTTGGTTGGAGCTTCTCGTTTTCAATAAACAAGTGAATATTATGCATTTAATATGCTGTAGCTCTTTATGCCTTCATCAGTGAAGTATTTAAACTGTTACGTTTCAAAGCTATGTGATTAGAGCCATATTTTTCATTCTCTTGAAAAATAAAAACAACTTAGTCTTCTCTGTTAGGTTACTTATTATAAAATTAGGTGCCTTTGTAAAAGGTAACTTTAAAAAAGATGTGTTTTCAGTCTGTGGCTGATATATAGAAAAGCAACTTAATTTTTTAAATCTTATTTCCTGTAACCTTGCTAAATTCTTAATTACTTATTCTGTCAGATTCTTGAGATAGACTAATAATGTCTTTCTTCAATTACTGATAGTTTGCTTTCTTCCTGTCTAACCTTTAAACCTTTATTTTTCTCTTGTCTGAACACACTGACATGGACCTGCAGTATAATGCTGAAGAAAAGTAGTGATGGTAGCCATCCTTGTAGTTTTGCTTTAGTTTTATTATTTTCTAAGGAAATATACATATTTTAGCTGGTATATAAATATTTTCTGAAGTAATTTGATTATATCCTTCTGTCTATGTATTAGATGTTGTTGTTGTTAATTGCCATTGAGTCTAGTATGATTCATAGCGACCCTATGAACAAAAGATGTGAACACTCTTCTGTAACTATGATAGTTGTGCTAATGTTCACAGAGTTTCCAAAGGCCTTTTGTTTAAGAAGTGGATGACAATCCTGCTTCCAAGCATGTCTTAATCTGGAAGCTCTACCAAACTCTGTCCACCCTGGGTAGCCATTATATCATAGTATTTAGTATCACAGTAACCCCAAGTTATCTCAATACAGCAAACTGACAGACAAGTTCAATACAAGTTAGAACAATATTCTCCCCAAACACAATTAACAGCAATCCTGCAGCCCTCAGGCACAACCAGCTTTTAAATACAAAGGTCAACCAACCAGGTCCTCATTGATTTAGAGAGGCTTCCAGCCCACAGCTGATTGTTGCCTAATCCAGGCAACCAATCAGCTTACATATGATTATCAAAACCAACCAACCAAAAAAAAAAGACCCAATAGTTTACACCTGACTTTCAACTAAATAAAGAGAAACTACCTTACAGAATCCAACTGCTTCACACTTGAGCCTTCACACTAGATATGTACTAGATACATATCTAAAAAGTTAGTGCAACCTTGGTACATATGTTGATAATACACCAGGAAAAGGAAAGATCTTATTATCACTTATAATCAGTGCATTTGCAGCCTGTTTTGCTTTATAGACTAAGGTCATGTATTGTTGTTGTTATGTGCCGTTGAGTCGTTTGCGACTCATAGCGACCCTATGTCCAACAACCCTAAACCGTGCTCTATCCTGTGCCAATCTCATTGCCTCTGACACACCCATCCCGATTACCCCAGTCACTGAATCAATCCACCTCATAGAGGGTCTTCCCCTCCTGCGCTGTCGCTCTACTCTACCCAGCATGATGTCCCTCTCTAAAGACCTGTCTCTCCTTACGACATGTCCAAAGTATGTCAGACGAAGCCCCAGAATCCTTGCCTCCAAGGAGCAGCCTGGTTTAACCCTCTCTAGGATGAATCTGCTTTCTTGGCAGTCCATGGTACATTCAATACTCTTCTCCAGCACCACAGCTCAAAGGCGTCAATTCTCCTTCTGTCCTCCCTAGTCATTGTCCAACTCTCTGATGCATAACAAGTGATTGCAAAGACCATGGCCTGTATCAGGCGGACCTTAGTCTCCAGAGAGACACCGTTGCTCTTGAGTACTTTAGAGAGGTCCCTAACAGCAGACTTTCCCATCGCAATACGGTTTTTTTATTTTTCTGGTTCCTGGTGCCAAGAGTGACCATGAAGTCGAGCAAACTGAAGCTGTGAACAATCTCAATCTCTTCACCATCCATCCTGATGCTACCGATTGGTCCAGTGGTGAGAATCTTTGTCTTGACATTGAGCCTCAGTCCATACTGAAGGCTCCAGTCCTTGACCCTCTGCCGTAAGTGCATGAGGTCCTCCTCAGTTTCAGCGAGCAGGGTTTTATCATCTGCATAACGCAGATTGTTGATAGATCGTCCACCAGTCCTAACGCCACGCTTCTCCTCATAGAGCCCAGCCTCTCGGATAATCTTCTCTGCATACAGGTTGAAAAGGTATGGAGATAGGACACATCCCTGGCATACACCCTTCCCATTTTTAAACAAGCAGTGTTGCCCTGCTCTGTTCTGACTGACGACTGCCTCTTGGTCCAAGTATAGGTTTCGCATTAGCACGATTAAATGTTCTGGGATTCCCATACTTTAGGTAATAATCTATCCTGTATATTCTGGGTGTATAGAAGATGCATAATTTTTTTCTCCATTCCAAAAACCTATGACTCTGAAATAATAGTAGAAACTTGTATTCCTTCCATTGGCTTCTGCTTATTGAGGTAAGGAAGGTTCTGCCTTGATATCTTTTATGCTAGTAGAAGTGCAGTTTAGATGGGGCCGTGGCACTAGCGATATTGTAGCTAATGTTAGATAGATCTTTGCTGAAAGCAAGGAGTACCAGAAGAATGTCTTTGTTTCGTTGATTATGCAAAGGCATTTGACTGTGTGGATCATAACAAACTGTAGCCAACTCTCAGAACACTTGATTGTGCTAATGTGAAACCTATACTTGGACCAGGAGGCAGTTGTCAGAACAGAGCAAGGAAACACTGCATGTTCAAAACTGGGAAGGGGGTACTCCAGGGCTGCATCCTGTCTCCATACCTTTTCAATCTTTATGTAGAACAGGTTATCTGGGAGGCTGGGCTCTATGAGGAGACATGTGGCATCAGGATTGGAGGAAGAATCATCAATAATCTGCCTTATGTAGATGACACAACCCTGCTTGCTGAAACTGAGGAGGACCGGAAGCACTTGCTGTGGAAGGTCAGGGACTGCAGTCTTCAGTATGGTTTGAGACTCAATATCAAGAAAACAAAGATTCTCACCTCTGGGCCAATTCGCAGCATCATAATGGATGGTGAAGAGATTGAGATTGTTCAGTTTTGGTTTGCTTGGCTCCACAGTCAATACTCTTGGCACCAGCAGCCAGGAAATTCAATGGGAAAGTTTGGTTAGAGACCTCTCTAAAGGACTGAAGTGCAAAGATGTCAGTCTGGAGACTAAGGGGCAACTGATTGTATCTTGGCCATGATCTTTGTAATCACTTGCTATGCATCAGAGAGCTGGACAATGACTAGGGAAGATAGAAGGAGAATTGATGCCTTTGAGCTGTGATGTTGTATAAGAGGATTGAATATACCATGAACGGCTAGGAAAACAAACAGGTTTGTCCTGGATAGTGTGAAGCCAGGCTGCTCTTTGAAGGCAAGGATTCTGAAGCTTCATCTGACATACTTTGGACATGTTGCAAAGAGGGACCAGTCCTTGGAGCGGGACATCATGTTTGGGAGGGTAGAGGGACAGCACAGGAGAGGAAGACCCTCAATGAGATGGATTGAATCAGTGACTGGAGTAAAGGGGGTAGGTGTGTCAGAGACACTGAGATTGGCACAGGATAGAGCAGGGTTTAAGGCTGTTGTACAAAGGGTCGCTGTGAGTCACAGACTACTCAATGGCACATAACAACAACAATGCTTTGTGTGAACATGGAAGTGAGTGGGTGGGCTGCTTCCCCCCCCCTCCCAATTCTTACTAAAGTGCTTTGTTCTCTCCTAGGTCCTATCAGCAGCATCCTGGTGAATAAATATGGAAGCCGTCCAGTCGTCATTGCTGGTGGCATCCTCTCAGGCTGTAGCTTGATGGGAGCTTCTTTGTGTAACACTATCCAGGAACTTTACTTTTTTGTTGGAGTCCTTGGAGGTGAGTTACTACTAGAGTATTTTCAAGCATTATTGTTATTATTTGTGTGAACTCTTGTAGCACTCATCTGGAAATCCTTTTGAGGAATGACATTTTTTCCAGAATACTACCATCATACTTTCTTAAATAGTGACTGGATCTTAAAGATTTGCAAGCAATTGTCTAAGGTGCATCTAAAGAGAAGTAACCTCACTGTAGAAAATAATATTCAAACTAGGGTCTGTTTCATTTCCATCATACCCTCACATCTAGCTGGACTAGGAAAAGAATTTATCTTCCATCCCTCACTCACACCATCCATCTATGCCTGCTATCATCCCATCTTTTCAGGTCCCCATTGGATCTTTCCTAATTCCTTCACCCCTTCCCTCTGCACAAAATTAGCCCTGTGATTTCCCTACTCCTCACTTTCGGGCCCCCCAGTCCCCACCTTTCCCATTTGGACAGTTATACACATCTTACTTGTAATCCTTCTATTTTTACAGTAATAGTGTTATATAGTATTTGTCCTCATGAGACCCAGTTAGTTCCCACAGCAGAATGCTCTCCAGCCTCTCCAATGTTATATAATATTTTTTGCTGATGGACATCTGGGCTGTTTCTGTGTTCTTGTGATGGTGAATAATGCTGCTATATACTTGGTGTACAAGTCTCCAATACTGGTTCCTTTTCTTATCTTGCAAGTGCAGTCCTAGGTCAGCTTGGTTTCTGTGGTATTCCTAGAACATCCAGTTTCATGCCAGTTTGGCTTTCCACTAGTAGTTTAGAGGGCAGGAACTAGGGGAATGGCTTTAACTGAAAAGTAGAAGCTCTAACGACAGCGAGACCATTTTATTTTATCTAGCAGCTGGCTTTTTGGAAACAAATGGTTAGGCCTTCATTCTGAGGCACCTCTGGATGAATTGAAACTGCCAACCATCACATGAACTGTTTGTATCACTCAGGAATTGTGGATTAAAATTAGGCAGTTTCTTAATGTGATTTATTTAGTAGAGTAGCAGGAATATAGGAGACAACATAAATGGCTGTGGTGATAATTACTCCTTCTAGCCCCATTGCTTTCAATATCCATTCATTCCTTATTAAATATATATATATTTTAAAATTGCCAGAATTCCTGTTCACTTTCATAGGTTAGTTTATCCACTCTTGAGTAAATACCTCCCTGTTCTAATCATGATAGCTGTGTAACACATTTGTGTTAGAGTGTAGAATATGTTTATCTTAGATCTCTTGGCATTGATTCCACCAATTTATCCTTTCCAAATTTTTTTATATTATATTTATTTTTCAAGTATTTTAGAGTCCCTCTCCTTATTTGAAAATTAAAACACATTGACATTCTCATTGCTGTTGCATAAAACTAACGGATTTGCTTAGTTTGACATCTTCACATTATTTTTTTTTTTATCTTCACATTATTGTTTTTATTATACAAAATACATTGTAGGTCTGTCCCTTTCTCTTTATATCTCCATTTGCCTCCATTACAAAATTTATAAGATTATAATTCTTTCTGTTTCTAGTTATCTGTTCCTGAGGAAAACGAAAATTATGAAACTAAATAGATCCTACATTTATTACCATTATTTGCCGCTAAATTAAAAGAGATCGTGATGCTAATATTTGCTTCAGAAAGATACATGAATATTTATGTGTTAACAGTCCATTTAATGATCTGTTGATTATAATGGCTTCTCAGAGAATCATTATTTCATCATCTTTTTCTTCTGTCTCTTTGTCTAGTTAATGAATAACAAATAGACTTTGTTTTACTACAGCATTTTTTTTTCCTTCTCTCTAGGCCTTGGTTTTGCATTCAACCTCGGTCCAGCTGTGACCATGATTGGCAAGTATTTCTCCAAGCGACGGCCCTTAGCAAATGCACTGGCCATGGAAGGCAGCCCTGTGTTGCTTGCAACCCTAGCCCCCCTCAGTCAATTTCTTGTTGATATCTTTGGTTTAAGAGGGACTTTTCTAATTCTTGGAGCCTTAACACTAAACTGCTGTGTAGCCGGATCCCTAATGCGACCAATAGGACCCACAACTAAGGAAAGGAGAAGGAAGAGTGAAGTGTCTTTACAGGAGGCTGGAGAATGTGATGCCATAAAAGATGTGGCTGATGCCCATGCAGTTCCAAATGATGGAAACTCCAAAGAAAAGAAGCAGTCAGTCTTCCAAACAATTAACAAATATCTGGACTTATCCCTCTTCACTCATAGAGGCTTTCTGCTATACCTCTGTGGTAACTTGCCAGGGAATTTTGTGTTGATTGTGCCTTTAGTCTTTCTTACTAATTATGCCAAGAGTCACCATTTCAGTAGTGAAAGTGCTGCCTTCCTTCTTTCCATTATGTCAGTCACTGACATTATATCCAGGCCCCTCATAGGGCTTGTAGCCAACACAAAGTGGGTCAAGCCTCGCATTCAGTATTTCTTGGCGGTTTCTTTTCTTGCAAATGGAATGTGTCATATGTTGCTACCTTTTGCTACCACCTATGTCCACTTCTGTATCTATGCGGGGTTCTTTGGATTTGCATATGGGTGGTTTGGCTCCATCACGTTTGAAACACTCATGGACCTCGTTGGACCTCAGAGGTTTACCAGCGCCGTGGGACTGATGGCCTTGATGCAATGCTGTCCGGTTCTCCTAGGACCACCAGTTTTAGGTACAGTATATACTCTTACCTGTGTGCTTCTGTTATCATATAATAGGTATTTAGAATTGGGAAGGTGAGAGAAAGCAGAGTTTAGTAAACTGCTTTATGGTAGTGAGCAAGTCTCTTTCATGCCTGCACCCTCATGTAACTCAATACTCAGTACAATGTAACTGCCCACATCCTTACAGAATAGGATTAAATTGAACTGTCAAGAAGAAAGAGGAATCAGATATTGCTATAAAATTCCATTTTCTTTCAAATTAAACATGCTTATTATTGAAAAATGTATAATAAGCACCTTTACTCATAGTGGTTTCAGCTTAATTGTGAATTAATTTATCTTAGTAATAACATTTACATTTTTTTTTTGGAAGCAGGAGTGGCATCCACTTCCTAAACATGCCTCTCTGGAAAGTCTATGAATTTTGATAAATGAGGATAGTTAGGAAGCCTTTAGGTCTTTTGTTCATAGGGTCACTATGAGTCGTGCTCGACTCATCAATAACAACCATATGAGGATGTGAGGAAGGCTCACGATATACCAGGGACTGACAGCCCATAGCCTGCTGCACTGCTAATCAGGGGAAGGCCCTGCATCTCCGGGGTTTCAAATCCACCAGCTGCTGTACAGAGGAATTACAGGCAGTCTCCTCTCATTAAGATTCACAGCCTTGGACATTAGATGGATGCGCTCTGGGGGTTGGAACTGACTCGACGCCAGTGAGTAAATGTCAAATCTCACACATGTTTTTTATTGTTTCTATTTTATAGAGACTTGTCAAAATGAAATAACTTGCCCAAGATCACACAGCTAGTCAATGATTATAAAACTTGATGGGTTATTAAATATTTAATATTTAAAAATATGAAATCATTTGCATCTCATTATGATTTCATACCAAATCCTGCAACAATGTGGCCTTCCTCTCCATGTCACTGATCAGACATTCTGATCAAAGTAAAACCCAAAACCAAACTCACTGCAGTTGATTCTGGCTCAGTGACTAGGACAGAGGAGAACTCCCATAGGGTTTCCTGGGCTGTGATTTTTGTGGGAAGAGACTAATTCACACTTCTCCCACGTGGCTGGTGGGAGTCACTTCCATAGAGGAAGACAGAGAAGGCGAGGTTCCCTTTTCCAAACTGCGCTTATTTACCTATTATCCAGGCTAGGCAGTCTTCAGTCAGTTTTCTTTCTGCTCTTCAGCCTACATGATCTTTGCAAATGCAAATCTGATATCCCAGCTGAGGAGCAGGCCTCTCTTCTGGGTGAGGATTTGCCCCGCCCTCCTCTCCAGACTCCTCTCCTTTTGATCTCTGCCCTCGCCTGAGGGTCTGGCATTCCCTCCCCCACAGTGTGCTTTGCTCCCACTAACAGCGCCTCTACTCTGGCTGCCTGCCACCTGAATCCTCTTCCCTTCTTTTTCATTCTTTCAACTTCCATCTTCCTATACGTTTTAGACCCCATTTACTCTTCTCAATACCTATTTCTGCTTGTAGTACTTGTCACTGTTACAGGTTTGGATCTGTGTTGTTTATTTATTAACATCTTCTCCACTGACCTGTGAGCTTCAGAAAGGCAGAGAGTTGTTATCTTGTTCACACATCAGTCCTCAGGACCTGGTACAGACAGTGCTTGACAGAGGCTAGGGATCAATAAACACTGTTGGATGAGTTAGGCATGACTGAAAAGCACATCCGTTTATATTCAAAGTGACCATTACCTTTACAGGTATCAGGTGGCATTTTCTGAAGTGTAATTCTCACAAAGCTATTTCTGTGAAATACTAAGAATTAACTTTTAAGGTTAGGAATTGCTAAATTGAAAGACTTTTTTTCTAGGACTTCTCTGGGTTAAACCTCACAGTAGTTCTGTGCCTTGGTTCCCTCACCTACATGATGGGAATCAGTCATGAAAAACTTGGGTTTTTAAGCATCTTTTGTTAGCATGGGACAAGAGTTCTTGGAAATGTGTTTTGGGAAACATGAAGCTGAAAAGGGGCATTGGTTTGAGGGTCTAGAAACCTGAGTGAAAATAGCTGTATGACTTTGCTTCTCTTTCCTGACCATCTTTGAGCTTTAGCTCTCTCTTACAAAAGTGAGAGAACTGAAGGGAACTAGGTGACCTCTGGATCCTTTGTGCCTCTAACTCTGATGCCATAGCTTAATTATAGTTACCAAGTCATCCTAAGCCAGTCTGACATTGTTCATTAGAGTGGTCATCCTTTCAAGCAGTTCATTTTGGCTTAATTTTTCATTTGGGAGACTCTGTAAGGACTACTTGACGTGTTCTTGAGGCTAGGTGTCATGGAGTCAGATTTTGACTCACAGCAACAACATGCGACAGAATAGAAGTGCCTCAGAGACTTTTTCAGGCTGCACTAATTGTAAGAGCAAATGTCCAGGTCTTTCACCAGCAGAGGGGTTGGGTTATACCACCAACCTTTTGGTTAGCGGCTGAACACTTAACTACTGCACCACCAAGACTTCCTAAAGGGCGCTTTACTCGCTCACTTGCTGACTCACTTGCTCGCTCACTTTCCCCAAGTCCGTTCCACCTCACAGCAGTCCTCTATGCATTTTCCCAGGCTGTAAATCTTAACTGGAGGAGACTGCCCATCTTTCTCCCTCAGAGCAGCTGGCAGATTCGACCTGCCAGACACATAGCTTCCTGGGTACCAGCACACCTGTAAGCTAGGCCACCATGCTCCTTAATGGGTAGTTGTCATTGTTAGGTACCATCGAGTTAGAACTAACATGTAGTTAATCCTCTAGTGAGTTTTCAGAGGCAATAAATCCTGTGGGAGCAGACTGCCCTTTCCTCTCCCCCAGCAGCTAGTGTATTTGAACTGTATGCCTTTGGGTTAGCAGTGCAGCTCAGTGGGTTTTTAGGAGTCAGTGGGGTTTTAGGAGACTAGAATGCCTCCTCCTGTCTGAGTTAATCTTCCGGCTTTATTTGGGAAAGAGTACACTGATGAGGGTTTGTTTATTGTTTTGTTTTGTTTTTTTAAAACAACACCTAACATAATAATTTCTTCCTTTCTCTTTTAAAAACTGTCTTTCAGGTCATCTCAGTGACATGTATGGAGACTATAAATACACATACTGGATGTGTGGCATAATATTAATTTTCTCAGGTCTTTTTCTCTTCATTGGCATGGGCATCAATTATCACCTACTAGCAAAAGAACAAAAAGCCAAACAGGAACTGAAGCAGAAAAATGGAGATGGAGAGAATTAGAAGTTACTAAGATGAAAGAACCTTCAGCTTCCTCAGCAGAAAGAACTCAAGGAGGGCATTCAATCTGAGACCATTAATAAACCAGAGCTTTTGATGAAAGATATCCGAACTAATTTTACTTGTCTCTTCCTGTTGTGCTGGTGTGTGTGTAAAACAAACCTGGGTTTGACTGCATGTGTGACAGAAGAGCCCAGAGGGTTTTTCAGGCTGTAATATTTAAGAGAGCAAATCTTGCTTGGTGGAATATTTATGCCACTTGTTAGCAACAATCTAAAAGAAGTATATTCCGGCCTTTAGGGCTTACAAAAGATGAAGGGAAAAAGGAGTTTTTATTCAGAGCTGGATTTATTGAAGTGTGAGTTACATAAAATTCCTTTTTTAAGAGCACATTTCAGAGAGTTTTGACAAAAGGCAAATAAATACTGCATACAAAGAAAGCATCTCAAAAGCTTTGACCCGCTCTCTCCTGCCCTCTGCAACCAGTAGCCTCTGCTCCCTAACAGCCCCTGGCGGCCACTAGGGTGGTTTCTGGCTCCTGTAGTTTGCCTTTTTCAGAGTGGAATAAATGGCATCACACACCATGTAGCCTTTTTGCCTAGTTCTTTTTTCATGCAGCATTTTAAAAATATGATTAATTTTGTGTTGTATTTATAAATAGTCCTTTTCTATTTATTGCCAGCTAATGTTCTACTCTATGACGATTTGTGTGTCCATTCACCGGTTTGATGGGCATTTGAACTGTTACCACTTTTTGACTTATAAATGATGCTGCTGTAAATATTCACGCACACACTTTTGTGTGGATATACCCTTCTATTTCCCTTGGATAAATGCCTGAGATTGGATTAGTGAGTCATATACCAAGTGTCTAACTCTGTACGAAACAACCAAGTGTCTGCAGAGCATATGAGACTTCCATACATTGCATCCTATTCCATGCTTGATGCTTGTCAGTCTAACTTGATTGTTCTAGCAGCTGTGTAGTTTGTGGCGTTAATGTACATCTCCCTGGTGACTGATAGTGTTGGCTACATTTTCAGGTGTTTTATGCATAATCTGTATTTTTTTAAGTAAAATTTTGTTTTTCAGTCCTGAGATTTTACACTATTCTGATGCAATGAAGTGCTTTCAATTGTTGTCTTCAGAACCCTTTCGATGCTTTTTCCTGGACATCTGACGGTGAAATGAACAATATTGTGAAAACTCTTAAATATGTGGAAAAGCATTTAAATTGTTATATGCTGTCAAGTCGCTTGCAACTCACAGCAACCCTATGTACAACAGCTCTGAACTCTAACCTATCCTGTGCCAACTTTATTGTCTCTGACACACCCTCCTGCATTACCCCAGTCAATGAATCCATCTCATTGAGGGTCTTCCTCTCCTGCACTGTCCCTCCACCCTCCCAAGCATGATGTCCCTCTCCAAGGACTGGTCCCTCCTCGCAACATGTCCAAAGTATGTCAGACGAAGCTTCAGAATCCTTGACTCCAAGGAGCAGCCTGGTCTCATCCTCTCAAGGATGAATCTGTTCTCCTAGAATGAATGCAAGGAGTAGAAACACCAATTATCAAAGTTCTAACATCACACCAACCATGAACTGCCAAAACAACAGCAATAAAAAAAAAAATCAATACACCCATGTTTATCACTGCTTTGTTCACAACAGCAAGGGGTTGAAAGCAACCCAAGTGCTCATCAATAAACGAATGGATAGAGAAGCTGTGGTATGTTAGCACAATGGAATATTATGCTGCATTGGAAAAACAAGGAACTCATGCAATATTATTCAAAATGGTTGACTCTGGAGGACATTATGCTGAGTGAATTGTCTCAGTCACAAAAGGACAAATACTGCATGGTGCCACTGTTGTAGAATGCGACTGACATCAGAGTGGGGGTAAGATTGAGAAAAATTGGATAACTTATGTATACAGCATTGAAACCGATGAGGGAGAGAACAGTTTTAAAAGCAATATATTTTAGGGAATTATGACTATCCTAAGAGTTCGGAATGAGGTTTGCAGAGTGGAGTATACTCGGGGTGAGGGTGGGGCGTGCGGGGGGATTGTATACCAATGAAGGAATTTTTCTTTTGCTTTTTCAAGGAGAAGAACTAACTGGGGGTGGGGAGGGGTGGGCGGGGAGAAAAGTGCAACAATGAATGAATGGAAATCCCAAATCTCTGTAAATGTTCATTGAAATGAATAAAAAAAATCAATACTGGAAGAAAAGCAATCAGGAGGTAAAGATAATAGCACTTTGTCTTACATATTTTTGGATATGCTATCAGGAGGAGTCAGTCCTAGGAAAGGATATGTTTGGAAAAGTAGAAGGTCAGAGAAAGCGAGGAAGATCCTTAATGAGACAGATCGATAGTCACTACAACACTGCTTGAATATAGCAGTGATGGTGAAGATGGTGTATATTAGGGTGGTGCTGAAATTTGTTGTTCATCTGGCTGATATTCTTGATAACCTCCCACAGCTCATCTGGTCTTTGCTCATTTGTGTTCAGGGCCTCAAAACTGCCTGAGATGGTTTTGAAATTCGAGCAGGATAGACTCAAAGTCAAATTTGGTTCCTGTGGATATGATTTAATTTTCTTTAGCTTCACCTCGATCTTGCCTATGAGTAGCTGGTGGTCTGTTCCACAATCAGCACCTGGCCTTATTTTCACTTCTGGTATTGAGCTTCTCCAGCAATTCTTTCCACTGATGTAATTGATCTGATGCTATGCATACCATCAGGTGAAATTGATGTGTATAGCCTGCATCTGTGTTTCTTATAAAAAGTACTTGCACTGAATAAATCATTGATTGTATAGAATTCTATCTCCAGCTTCATTTCTGTCACCAAGTTCGTGTTTTCCAACTACTGATCCTTCTTCTCAGTTCTCAAACTTTGCATTCCAGTCACCCATTATTATGAATGCATCTTGATATCATATTCGATTGATTTCTGACTGTAAAAGTTGGCAGACATATATTTCCTCCTCTTTGGCTCTAATTGTTGGTGGTTGTTATGTGCCATAGAGTCGTTTTCGACTCATAGTGACCCTATGTACAACAGCCCTAAACTCTGCTCTGTCCTGTGCCAATCGCACTGTCTCCAATACACTCATCCCAATTACCCCAGTTAAATCAATCTATCTCATAGAGGGCCTTCCTCTCTTGCACTGTCCCTCCACCCTCCCAAGCATGATGTCCCTCTCCAAAGACCGGACCCTCCTTACAACATGTCCAAAGTATGTCAGACAAAGCCCGAGAATCCTTGACTCCAAGGACCAGCCCAGTTTAACCCTCTCCAGAATGAATCTGTTTTCTTAGCATTCCCTGGTAATCTCAATACTATTCTCCAGCACCACAGCTCAAATATTTGAATGATAGTATTCACTGGAATTCCCTGTATGTGTGTAGATATCCTGTCACTCACAACATAGTATTTCAAGATGGATTGTGAAAGGGCTTTTTTAACTATGAAAGCAACCCCATTTCCCCTCACCTTTTCATGTCCAGTATAGTAGATGAAAATGAAAATGATCTATGCCAGTCTATCTCATTTCGCCAGGTGTTCCATTTTTTCTTAACAATGCTCAACTTGCCTACATTCATGCTTCTCACATTCCACATTCCAATTACTGGTGTCTGCTTACAGCTGTTCTGTGTTTCCATCTCTGAAGGCTCAGCCTCAGTTTCCATATCTGCTAGTCTAAGCATGCTCAATTGTATAGGGTTTTCAAAAGCCTGTTATTTCAGAAGTGGATAGCCAATCCTTCTTCCTAGTCGGTCTTAATTCAAATGTTCAGTGCATTTAAATAGATAACTATAAAGACTAATAGCCTAGAAAGATCCTTATGTTTTAAGCATGGTGCTATGTTAAATGAAAAAAAGTAGGACACAATGTACCCAGATCAGTGTATACAGTATACTGTCAGGGCACAAAAGGAGGAAGAAAGACTATATTTTAAAAACCTCTAACCACAAATGGGTTAGGATGGTGATTTCCCCCCCTTTTATGTTTTACTTTTCCTTAATATGATTGTTTTAACAAAAACCAATTTTTATACATATTAAGAATTGAAAACAAAACCAAACCCACTGTGGTCAAGTTCATTACAATATATAATGACCATACAGGAAAGAGAAGGAGCTTGAAAAACTTAGATTACAGCTACAACTTGATCCTTAGGAAAAATTATATGCACGGGAGCAACAAGTGAATAAGTAGCTTTATTTGGTGCCAGAAGTACATTTACCTGGAGTCTACAGAAACAAGGTTTAAAGGTGGTGTTTTCAGATTTAGAAGTTGTTAACGTTTTGGCCATTTATAACATGCTGTTTGAAATCCATTTGCCAGAATACACAAAGAACAATAGACTTCATGCTAGTTATGAACTTGAACTTTGTTCTGCAGTGTGCCATCAAATGAAATCCCAAGTTGTTGTGTGACAGGCTTTTTCCCACAGGAATTATCACAGTAACAGAGTAAAGGTTGTTGCTACCGCCATTGAACAGATAGATCTACCCTTTGGATTTAAAAATAGGAAGAAAATGTTCTAATTCATCTCTTAATTGGTTAGAATTCCTTACATTAAAACCTTTTTAAAACCTGCTGCACATACAACACAGAAGGAAAAATGTAGGAACTCAATACAGAAGGAAAAATGGACCAAAAGCAGCTGCGCAAATGAACTCTTGTCTGCAGTGTGAGCTCCAGTCCCTTAGGATTTTATTTCAAACTTTGCTGTGAAATAAAAAGGAAGTTTACAAGACATGGCATTGCTGCCTTTACAAAAAGACCTGTTTATTTTCACAGTGATTATGACATCCTCATAAGTAGAACTGTCAGAGTGTGTACTGCCTTAAATCATTAAACTGTTGTCATTGTTATTTTTTTCCCCCAAATTGAGCAAATGTCTTACTTGTGAATTGTTTCTTACATTTTTATGTGCTGAATATGAGCACCAGAGAAGTTGTAAAAGTTCTCTTTTTCAATTGG